TTACTTAATACCCCACACACCCTTTCAGAAGTAAAGCCAGGCACAGGAACATGTTCATGACATACTTCCTGTGTTGCTCCTTAGTTGGACGCAGGAAAGGGCCAGTTCTCTGAGAGCCCTCACACCTAGAAGCTGTGTCAGAGGAGGACACCGGCCAGCTCCCCAGGACTGATGGTTGCTTTGGACTTCTGGCTGTCACAATCCTTTTGAACCCGTGTGTGATATGGCATCAGATCCTTGAAGGCATTTGGGGCATGCTCAAAGTTGCTTCTAGACTTGAATAAAAGAGAAACAGAAAGCTATGCCAGGAAGGATGGTAAAAATGGAGGGAAATCCTTGCCAGTGGTCAGCAGAGCACCCTGAGGCCCAAGCCAGGAGGGTACCTTCTCCTCTCAGGAATCCTTAGGATTGAGGGGTTTTAGGACTCACACCTAAATGTCTCACTATCTTTTCATTCTTAAAAGAATTCCGTATGGTATTACATTTGACATTTCTGCCAGTTTCATGAGGCAAGGCAGTTACCTCATTTTATGAGGAGATGAGGTGGGGGACAGGGGATCAGCAGAACTGGAGGCTCAGAGGCTGTAGTACCAGAACAATGGAAGGGGGAGCTGATCCCACGCATGCCCACTTGGTTTGAGCAGCACCCTCCCCGACCCCCCATCCCAACATGGAACCTACCTTTTCTCAAAACATTTTTAGCACCTAAAGCTCTCTGATTTCATAACTTTTATCAACTATCAAACACAATTGGGTGTGAAATGTTTCATTCATAAAAATTCTGTCTGTTCTAAGTTGTTCATCATAAACTGTCTTGTACATTTGCACGCTGATCATTCCCCATCACTGAGCCCCCTGTACATGCGTGCACTGTAGTAAGGCTTAACACAAAATTTCCTGTTACAGGGAATGGGGCAGCCTAGCTCCATTAGCAAATACAAAACAGCATGGGGCTTATTTAGGGTGGAACTGATCCCACACCAGTGCCTCTAAGAGACACACTGTACTTTGACAATCTGAATGCCTTATGAGGGACTTGGGCTACTACACTACCGCAGGGGCCCATAGGTGACACCTCTTTTGACTACTTGACATGGCACTACTGTGAAGTGGGAGGCAGGCCGGCTGTGTGATCACCAGCTTCCGAACTACACAAGAAGTGTAGCCACATGGGGGTGTCAGCATACAGGGCATCCAGTTCGGCCTGGCCCGGCCCGGCCCAGCCCAGCCCAGGCTTGGGTGAGTTTAGAGTGGCTCTGCATGCCATTTCAGAAGGTAGGGGCCTAGCAAAGGAAAACTGTATTAATTTTGAGCGTGACCAGGGAGACAACATAGAAAAAAGGTGATCTTCAGCCCAGAAATCCAGATACTTGCTAGGAGGGTACAGTAAGAACAGATGTTTGACCAGGTAGTTTATGGCCAAGGATAGGGGTTATGGTGGGGACAGGGTGATGACTGGTCCCACCTATATCCTTTTATGTCAGGGCCAACAGGACCTGGCCAAGCTGGCAGACAGAGCTCTGGGAGTAGCAGCTGAAAACTCTAGACCCTGATAGATCCTCAGGAAGTGCTGCCACCCCCTCTGTATCCCCAGACCTCTACCCAGACCTCTCCTTGCTGTCTACCCACCCTCCTCCATTAATCCCTCCTACTGACATTTGTCAGCTGGGCCTGGTATTCACCCTGGGGAAACAGACCAGTAAAAAGGACTGTGTCCTCTGACTAGCTGGGTCCTCCCCTCCCAGTCATATCTCCCCTGGGGCTTAGGGAAAAGGACTTCAGTGCATTCTCCTGATGCTGATTGAATTGCTCCCTTCTGGGCAGCTTTGTGCGCCCTTGACACAACTTAGGGAAAGGAGCAGAAAGGGTTTTAAATAGCACAGAACTGGCCAGTTTGCACTGTTGACACTGACTGTCTATTATAAACAACAAACTCAGAAGATGCAGTTTGTTGCAACTGTCTTTGGATGGGCTTGGGTGTGGGTTTACATATTTAAGATCACACATACTCCATTAGTGGAATGGAAATAAAGCTACCAAGTGCCAATTCTGTTTCTGTTACATGCTTTAGGACCATTGCAGGGTGTGGTGGCAAGTGGAACTGCAATTTGCTTTGGTGTCCAAATAAAATGTAGTGGTCATCCATTCCTGGCCTAGGCAGGTGACTTGTGGGCATTGGGTGCTATTGGAATCAGCAATTTCTAGGAACTGGAAGCTGAGACTCCCATAAAAGGAAGCCACTTCCGGGGGCTATATTTAAAGACACACTCATTTCTAGAATTGGCCACCACAGGCCACAGTCTGGATTGCAAATAAATACTTTAAACCCATGTCGCTCATGGACAGTCCCTTCGGAGACTTTTGTGAGGGTTAACTGCAAACAGAGCTTTTATGTACAAAGAACATTATTGGATCGTGGGTCTGTTACAGCCAGGAGAGAACAGCTGACTGACTGAGGCACTGGGCCATCCGCTAGCTTCACTACTAGGGGATGAGGAACTTAGATCTGTGCCTCAGTCAGGTAACAAGTATGCAGATCAGAGACCTTATGGGTGGCTTGAGAATGAGTGAAATGCCACTTTACACAAACGCCAAGGGCCTACGGTACTTCGTCAAACCAAGGATTTTGAGAAGAGCGGAGTCACTTCATCCGCAGACACCTTTGTTTCCCTGGCCTTAAAGGGAAGAAATAAACCGTATCAGAATGCTCTAGAATTGGCTAATTTTTGTGTTTGAATGACACTTTAGGTATTAGCATTTCATAGCTATCATCCTCTTTTTTATGGCCAGGAAGACAGGTCGTGAATGCATGAGGTAAGTACTGCCACATGAAAGGACTTTTTGTCCAAAGTCACATTATTACTTGAATCTCAAATCTTAGAGGCCAGGATTCCTGTTGCCCAGGTCCAGGGTTCTTTCCATCTTGCTGCCTCTCTGTTACCTGGTTCTAATTTTTCCCATCCACTCCCCTGGAGAAGTCAGCCAGAGGAAGCCACCTGTCATAGATACGTGCCTGAAAGTCCACCATTAGAGCTCCATCTCGTTTACTTGATGCACAAATGTGAATTAATAGTGCAGGTGCTTCTGAAAGGAAGGTATCCCTAACTGAGGGCTTTTCTCCCAAGGGCCAAATAAGAAGTACGGTTTTGCACACCGTACAGTGTTTGGGGCAACTACTCATTCAACTCTGCTTTTCAGCACAAAAGCAGCCATATGTTACATAATGAATACATCATTCCCGGAGACTATATTTTAATTTCTTATGATTTCACATGTCACAAAACTTGATTTGTTTTCAAGCACTTATAAATGGGAAAACTATTCTTACTTCATAGGCCACCAGGCTTGGTTTACTGACCCTTGCTTTCAGGAGTCCTCTGTCAGTGCTCTGTGGATAGAGCTCTGATGGAAGGGACGGGTGGGGAAACTGAGCATGCAGGAAACGCCAGTCACCCCAGACAGAAGTCCCCTGAGGCCTTCCAGAAGTGGTAGCTGTCTGCTGGGCTGTCTCTGCAGCCGCTGCATTTGGAGCACCTGTGGTAGCTACTCACCTCACGGAAGAGATATATGGCTTTACCACTGGCATCTACAGGTCAGCTGAGAGTGAGCCTGGTGTCACCCCACCCTGCATCACAGCTGCGCAGTATTCACTTCTTTTTCTTCCCCACACATCTCAGTGAGGATCTCCACTTCACTGCAAAGGGGCTACAAGGTCAGGTTGTTCTATGTTGCTCTTGACATTAGAAGGATTTGAGCCATCACCCTCAGAAAGTTTTGGATTTTATATTTTCAGATTAGGGACATTCAACTAGTAAAGTTTATGCAAATATTTCAAAAACCTTGGAAATCTGAAACATTTCTCTTTCTAAGCATTTCAAATAAAGGACACTCAACCTGTATCTCACTGAGTTTTCCTCGACAGAATGAATAACAAGATGCAATTATCACCATTTTACAGATGGGAAGAACTAAGGCTCAGAGCACAAAAGGACTTACCCTGGCCACAGCAGGGGAGCAGGGTTAGCGTCTAGGTCGGATTCTAAAGCCCTGAGTCTGAAGCTCACAGTGCATGCAGATGGCTCACCAGGAGGGGTGTGCAGAGCAGGCCTCCCGCAGGCACCAGCATCATTTCATCCTCCCAGAAAAGGAGGCCGACCACCCCTCTGGCCTCAGCCTCTCCTTTGTCGCACCCCAACCCTTTCCCTACAGCCTCTCTGTGGTTCTTCTGGCACTTTGTCTGGATGAAAAACAGCTTCCCTGCACTGGCAGTGGCCACCACCTGCTCCACCCTCTCCTATGGAGCAGCAGCATCTCCAGGGAGACCTATCAGAGCCAAAGGCCCTTTTGTATGGATAAACCTGAGAGTTTTTGTATTTATTTATTATTTACTTTTTTATGTGTATTTATTGGCTTGTCTGATGAGCAGGCAATACTCAGTAGAGAACTATTCTAAGACTGAATGAATGAATAAGCTAATGCCCCAGAATTCCTGGATAGGATTCCCTGAGTTTAGCTTTCAGTGATTCACAGAGGTTTCCCGCAGTATAGATTGGGTCAGCACATAGTAAGGATGCAAAGATCCCACGGATTCAGCTCTTTGAGCACGTCCACCGTATCTCATGGGCATCTTCAGTCAGCACGCCCATCACCCCATTTTACAGAGAAAGGGACTGAGCTCAGTGACATCAAGGAACGTGGCGGGTCCAAACTCACCAAGCTGCTCAGTGGTGGGATGAGTTTGGACCCGCCACAGCCTGTTGTCTCCACACACTAAATCATGCCCGTAAAGCTCCAGAACTAACCCTAAGGACAAAACGTGGGCGTCAAGCGAAGCTGTGCTGAGAAGGAAGGGAGCCCCAAGACCCCCTGCTGTCCTGCTGAAGCACCAGGCACAGCCACTGTCCCACTGCCGTTGGGATGAGGCAGGAGCCACTGGTGGTTGTCCTCACTCCGTGCTGGCTGCATGCAAGGGCTGCAATTCTAACATTTTTCCTTGGCAGGCAATGCAGACAGATGCACAAAACTGACTTCCCCGGAGGCCTTCTCTCAGAAGTGAGTGGCCTGGATCTATGTACCTCTTCCTGCCTGGCCTGGACTGGAAATCCCACCGCAGAGGGCACATCTCATGGTATGTTACTGCTTCTGGTTTTCAAGAGTCCCTTATAAAAATGCATTCAGGAAAAGAGAAATGGAGGTCAGGATAACGGGAAGGGGCTGCAGGGCAGAGGGAAATAGGGAAGGTCCTTCTACTTACCTGGCAACTCTACCCTGTGGCCAGGTGACCTCTGCATCTGCCCTTTGCTAGTGCCCATCAGTTTTTTGCTGGGCCCAGCCTCCCGGACAGGCCCTTGGAGGAGGAAGATGGTTCAGGGGCCTGACGAGCAGTGAGGAGGCAGCTCTAGCATCCTGGTAGGTCTCCAGTGAGCACCGGCACCACTTCCCTCTGCTGGCCCAGCTGTGCCAGCTCCTGCTGCCTCAATGAGCACGCAGTTACCATGACCCGCCTTCTTTGAAAGTAACAGAGCATTTACAGAAGAAAGCTTTTTTTTCCCTGAGGTATATACATTATCTTTTGTCGGGGTAGGGGTCATGGAGTTTGACCCCAGGACCATACACATGCTAAACAAGAGCTCTACAACTGAATTACAGCCCTTTTTATTTTTTTTTTTTTATTTGTTTTGAGACAAGGTCTCACTAAATTGCCCAAGTGGGCCTCAAACTTGCAGTCCTCCTGCATTAGCCTCCTGAGCAGCTGGGATTACAGGCTTGTACTCCTCCATGCTCAGCCATGCATTATCCTAAAATTTGAGGTCACAAGCTGCTCAAAGGAACCTCTCAGGGAACCTCCTCAGCTCTCCCTGGCATCAGAGCGTGCATGCTCCTAACCCTTTCCCTTGGCAGTGAGACCAGTATGTGGGCTCTGCCTCCCCGCCCCCACCCAGCCCTGCACGGCTCCGAGACCCCCTGTTTCCAGTTCCACCTCTCCTAAGGCTGCTGGCACAGCAGTGTTCAAGGCTTAGGAATGCGGCTCCTAGGGTGAACCTCAGGCAGTGCAGCAGGCTACAAGGGAGAGACCCTTGGTCTTCAGGCAGGACCCTTGTCTTTACCTGCAAGGAAGGGTGAACCTGGCAGCAGGGGTCCTCATTCAGCTTCTATTTGGGCTGTGGTGACTTCCACAGACCACCAGTCCCCAGGCCAGCAGCATCAGCACCGCCCAGGAGCTTGCTAGAAATGTAAATCTGCATCCACTCCTAGACTCAGTAAATCTGGCTCTGCAAGTGGCCTGGATGACTGGTGGCCAGGAGGTTTAACAAGTCTCTTGGTGACCTGTCACACCTAAAGCCTGACACCCCCCTGCCCTGAATCAAGTCTCAGTTTTTGTATTCCCCACACTTCCTAGGGACACAAAGCTGTTCATGCATCCATAAGTTCTGAATATTTATTTTATTTTATAAAGTTTATTACATCTATGTACTACTATTTTAAAATATTTAGAAGAGTTATAAGGATAAGACCAAGATGAAATGAACAACAGTTTTCAATGTCTTGTTACTCTCTGATAGCACAAAATGCACTTTAGGCAACATTAAACATGAGTGATTATGAGTATGTAAGTCTAAATAACAAAACAGATTCTGCAAACAATACTGATACTTATTTGGGAATAGCAGAACATTACAATAGGAATATGCATACCATCATGAACAGGAGGCATATTCAAAGAGGTTAAGTCAAGGGGAAGATCTTAAAGCAAATATTATGAAGAGTACATCAGATGCTTGGAGATAATAATCCTTGTCCATAATGATTTATAATGAGAGTGGCATCAGTCCAACGTTGAACAATCTTAGATAGTTGCTGGGCACATGTCTTTGTAGAAGTGCTTTTTGTATAAAGTAGTGATAGCCATTGTATAAGTGTGTGATTCTGGCAGAGGTTTTTGGGATAGTTAATATCAAGCAACCATATGTTAAGAACACTTCTTTCATGACCTTCTACCGTGTTTATTTATTTATTGTTAAGGTTGACACATGACTCCATTTAGACTCTGACAACTTTCACATTTCTCTCGAAAGTATAAAGCCATAGTTCAATAATCTTTTGGATAATTCCCATTTTGGCAAACTGCCAGAACTGATCAAATGCTATCATTTTTACTGCATGATGTGGCTGAGAGTGAGCTCACATTGGGAGTAGAAGTGGGGCCAGGCTGGCATTTTGAGGCTGTTTAGTGTTACTCTCAATCAAAGATCTCATCAGAGATGAGGTGAAGAAAAGAGCTCTTCAGCACTGTTAAAGCCACTTGTCCTTTTTTGTGAAAGCAAGTTTACTTGAAAGTAGATAATAGAATCTCTAAATCCTCTTCATGGGTACATGTAAGTCGCAATTTGCTAACTACCCACACCCCACCAACACACACACAGTGCCTTCCTCCTATGTGACAGTCTAGGGCTGCAGAGTCCAGCACCAAGAGTGCTGTGGGGCCTTCTCTTTCCACCTCCTCTAGAGCTGAAATACTAGGGTAAGTGGATGGACTTCTGTCTCCTTCCCTTGGCCTCCTGGGGCATCTTGTACTTCCTCTGGGATGCATGTCCCCCACTTTAGAGACCCCTTCTCCCTACTAAATGCAACACTGCTTTCCCTAAAGGTCTTACAGAAGCTCTTAAAGATACCCTAAGTCAAGAGGATCTGCCCATAGCTGTAAAGTCCATGTCAGAAAAGTTCTATCCAGGAGGTCTCAGGAGACCATCTGTCCCTCTCTCCTCTAGGACTAGTTCTTCACCTCAGGGGTTCAAGGCCAAGAGTGTGGAGTGTCACCTGAGGGCCGCATGGCAGACACAGCCGCTGGGCAGCATGACGCAGGCCACACGAGGCCCTGACCCTGCACCGCGTGCGCCAGCATGGCCCTCGACAGGCACAGCACTTCAGGACAAAAGCAGGGGAAGCAGGAGGGAGGGGCTGCTGCTTCACCAGCTTCTTGAAGCAGAAATCTCATTTTCTGTCATAATTCTGAAGCCGGTGCTTCTGTTTTAAAGTATATGTTCAGTTGCTATTCTGGTTGTGTGAGTCGCAAGTTTTTTCCAAGGATCGACCTGCTATTTTTTCCTCTGGTGGCACCTTGAGCAGCCAGTCCCACAGCCAGAATCAGCTGGGTAGCAAAGGTTCCCCTCCGCCAGCCCTCGGCAGACACTTGGGGACACTCCACAGACCGAGCTGAGCAAGCCTCAGCGGAGCAGGGAGTAGTCCCTGAAGAAGTTACCCACACTTTGTGTTTTGGTTCCAATCCTGCAGTGAAGTGTGTGTCTGCGCCCCCTTGGGAAAAGCAAAACAAAAACAGGCTAGCCCACACTCCTTCTCGGGGGACTCGGCCCCTCGGGAATTTGGGAGTGGCTGGTAACAAACCCAAGGGAAGCAAAGAGCTTCTCACATGATAACTAGAACTCTGAATCCAGGCATCAGAGTCCACAAGCACCCTGAGAACTAATAAATACAACTAGGAGGCCCAAGACCCCTCTGTGAGAATTTCAATTTTCATTTGAATGAAAATCTTTACAATTAATGTAAACATATTCCACAACATGTAAACCTCATCTCACAACTGTTTCAAGAGATTTTCAAACTGAATACCACTGATTTTAAAAAACTGAATAGAGCTGAGTACAGTGGTTCACGCCTGTAGTACCAGCTACTCAGAAAATCCACAGCAAGATCCCATCCTTAAAAGAAACAGAGGGGAGAGGAGAGAGGAAAGGAAGGAAGGAAGGGAGGAAGGGAGGAAGAAAGAAGGGATTTCACTCACATGTGCCATGCTGGTGTTCTGTCCAAGGGAAATGTGGCCATGCCTCCAAATATAGGAACGGCCTGGAGAAAACATCCCATCCCACCCCAGGGGGGCGCCACTGAGCAGAATCTTCTCAGCATGTGGGATCAGAAAACACCGATCATGTGCAAGTAAGTGTACGAACTTGCCTTTGGGGTTGGAGTTGTAGAAACTTTTGCTTACTTCATTTATACACTGATCTGATTTTTACAGATAACTTCCTTTGGTTTTTTGTTTGGGGTGTTTTTTGGTTTGTTTAGGGGAGGAGGGAGTTACAGTGGTAGGGTATGAGCCAGGTCCTTTGTACTGAGCTACATTCCCACCCCTGCTCTTTTTTTACTTTACTTTAAGACAAGTTAACTCTAACTAAGTTGTCCGCACTGGCCTCAAACTTGTGATCCTTCTCCCTTGACTTTCGAGTTCTGCAAGAACTATTGAAGCATATAGAATTTAACTAACTTTATGTTAATTTGTGTATATGTTAAATATTGTTTACATTTAAGAAATTGATAAGCAAAATAATTTCAGTCAGTTCTCAAGGATCATATGAGTCTTGGTTTCCTTCATTAACAGAAGCACTCAGATTTAAATATCACCACTCTCATCTTCGAATCAGATGTCCAGCATTGTCAGTAGCAAAGGTGAATGCTGAAAGAACTTAGAGAAGTCTTTTAGGGCTGATGTCCAGCAAAAAGAGGGGCAGTCAGGAGGTATTTCATCACATGGATTTTTACCAGGAGCTGAGACTAAGCAGACACGGAGGAGGGAAGAGAGGGGCAAAGGCCTTAGCTGGGGACAAAACATCTCGCCTGCCTAGGCTACAGGAGGGGCTGCTTACTACTGGACCAGTGTCATCATTTTCACCTGAAATATTAGTTTCTGCCACTTTGTGGGTAATAAATACAAAGTGAATGTCATATAAGTGCTATTGACTAATGAACAAGCAAAAATATGATTTGAACACTCACACACGCACAGACACACACACACACACACACACACACACACACACACACACACACAGCTTTCCCCAGGGAGCAGATGTAGCGCCTCAGAGGCAGCAGGCTGGTGAGCTCATCACCCCTGGGAGGGAGGAAGTGGCTCCCTTATATGGCTTTTACCTGTTCACTTGGCTCAGGTGAAGTGAAGTTCCCCACTCACTAGCCTCCCTTGTCAGTGGACTGGAAGATCACATGGTTTAGGTCTGGCCAGAAAGGCAAGGGTCACAGCTTTGGGTCACTCTTTACTCTTCCCAGAAACCACAGTATCCATAGGAGCAGAACAAGAAATGCAGAAATGTAACTTTACCAAAAACAGTAAAGTTCATGCAAGTCAGCAAACAAGCTCATAATGCAACAAGGACTGCCCCTGCCACCTATGGTGGGAGGACCTGACAGAGGAGCAAATCCAGTCAATGGCCTCATGGTGCCTCCACCCATTGAGGCAGGATGTCAGCTGCCAGTCCCTTTGGACAGAAACACCAGAGATCTGGGCTCACTGCCTCCTGAGACAGGAACCTGCTAGAAGCTCCTCATGTGGAAGGAGGTGGTTAGTAAAGAAAGACAAAATAAGAAACAGACCAAGACACATTTAGAAATAAACAGAAAAAACGAAGCCCTGGAGCGTCACTTCCAAAAGCCAGACACCTCAGCTTCCTGCCACCTCTGAGAGTGTTTGACCCCACCCCAAATGTACTCATGTGCTCAGGCAGCCATAACAAAGTACCACAAATGGGACAGACTTCCTCACAGTTCTTGAAGCTGGAAGCCCAAATCAAAGTGTCAGCCATTTTGGTTTCTCCTGAGACCTCTCCTTGGCCTACAAAAGCCACCTTCTTGCTACTTCTTCACTTGAGCTTTTCTCTGTGTGCAAGCATCCCTGATGTCAGATCCCCTTCTTATACAGGTCCAGTAGGATTAGGGCCAAATCTTTATGAACTCATTTAACCTTCGTTACATCTTCAAAGCCACATTTTCAAATACAGTCACATTCTGAGCTGTTGGAGATTAGGACTTCAATATATGAATGTGAAGCGTGCACAATTTAGTCCATAACACCGAGAGGCACTGAGTGAGTTATGGAGTTCCAGGTTCCAGTTGCATCCCAGCCTGGAGGTCAGGCTGCATCCCTACCTGCAATAGCAGCTTTGCTCGCATCCATGAGACGACCATCCGGTAGTCTCAGGAATGGCCAAATCTCTCACCTCTCCTCAGCTCCTGGTAAGGATGGGCTGACTTTGACCTTTAGCCTTTGCCTGTAGGCTGTTGGACCAGCACTCAACAGTCACCATATCCATCTTGGTGAAGGCGGAACAAAGAACTATTTCTCACTGACTCATAGGATCTAGGTGAGCCTCAGTGGCCCTGGGCACTGGCCACTGACTCAAAATCTGCTCAGGGTGGCACAGGCCACCTCAGGTGCTCTTCTGGATTATGTTTACTCACATTATTTGCAGCATCCAGGCCTGTCTAACCACACACCTAGTGCAACCCCTGGTGCAACATCCCATGCTGGGTTCATGAGTCACTTTCCCCAGACACCACAGACACCAAAGAGCTGTGGGATTCTCTATGCTTGCAGGAGCACTCCAGGCCTGCTCCGAGGGTCTTTATCAAGTAGAGCATAGTTAATAGTACTGACTTACACTTCCATCAATGACAGAACAGTTGCGCCACCAAGGACAACCAGAAATACTAGACTAAATATTGTAATTATTGATAGTTTCAGAGAGTTAATGTGAAATAGAAAACTTCCTGGGCCCAGAGCTTCAGAACACAAATGACCAGGAGGATTTGCTGATCATACAGAGTGCAGATGCGAGACTAAGTATGCTGCCAAAAGCTTCATAGGCCTCTGGGCAGGGCCTCATTGCAATAGTATATAAATCAGAAACTAGAATAAGTGAAACTGACTTTTTCTAAGGTACTCGTGTTGTCTGAGAAGAGGTAAAAGTAATCATTTCTTCTAGGATTTGATGACTCAGATATTTTGTGATATATCTAAGTAAGTTGGACTTCGGAAAACTGTTTTTCTAAATAATAATAACAACTACCAAGTTAAAAGAGGAGAAAATTAAATAATTTAAAAGGACTTGTGCCAGGGATGGTGACACATGCTTGTAATCCCAGCTACTTGGGAGGCTGAGGCAAGAGAACTGGGAGTTCAAAGCTACCCTGGACAACATAGTGAGACATTGTTCTTTAAAAAGAAAACAAAACTAAATAAGAAAAGAGAAAAAAGAGATCACAGATTAATTGGAACAACAAGAAAGCAAATAATAACATTTAAGTGGATCAATTATTATATTAAATATAGGTAGACAAAATGCTCCAATTAAAACAGGAAGATCAGCCGGGCATGGTGGCGCATGCCTATAATCCCAGCACTTGGCAGGCTGAGGCAGGAGGATCATTGCAAGTTTGAGACCAGCCTGGGCTACAAAGTGAGCTCAAAGCCAGCCTGAACTGTATAGACAGACCCTGTCTCAAAAGACAAGACAGAAAAAAAAACAAAAGATGAAGATCAACTTCATTTTTAAAAAACCAAACCTAATTATAAGCTGCTTACAAAAAAACACATTTTTAAAACTTCAAACTGGTAGAAGTTAAAATATAAGAAAGACATAAGAATAAAAATCTAAAGGAAGCTGAAAGAGATATATTAATATCAGAAAAATAGACTAAAGGCAAGAAGCATTACTACAGGCAAAGAGGTATTTTATAATAAAAAAGGTTTTATTCACCAGAAAGATCTAGCATATCTAAATTTATATGTACCTAATAACATTGACTCAAAGCAGATAAAAATTGACAGAACTAAAATTAAAAAATAGATAAATCCATAATTACAGTGAAGAGATACTTATACATTTCTCCCAGGAAACTTGAGAAAGACAAACAAAAAATTGAAAGGAATTGAGCAACTACTTTGAAGATAACAATGTGCAGTGTACTAACCATTGCTACTCTCCTACAATCTTGTTTTGAAATTTTATACCATTGTTTTTATTGTTTACTTTTTTGATTTTAAAATATATATATATGATTGTTTTATAAGAAAAAATAATAAAATGCCATGTGATTTAACAAGAAATTAACCCAGATAACAAAAACTAACACAAATTTTACTAAAATATTGGACTTAAAAAGAGAAAAATTCTTTGAATATTCAGTCCCCTCCAAAAAAAGTAACTTAGAAGGGAAAATTGTTTTCAGTGTCAAAAAATTTTTGATAGCAATGTTTTATGTCAGAAGAAAAGAAGTAAAATATTTTCAGTACTCAAGAAGAGAAAAATGAAAGCCAAGAATTTTTTTAATCTAGCCAAACTAGCTTTTAAATATAAACAATGCAGAAATATTGTGATATTATATCTCAAACATAAGAAAATTCAGGGAATATTTATTCCATAACCCTTTCTCAGTAAACTCCTAGAGTACAAAGTTTTGACAGTTGTAGAGGAAGGGATGTGTGTAAAATGAAAGCCGCCTGAAGGAGGCCATATAAAAGAGATGGTATAACATACCCTAACTTTTTGTTCCATAAAAGAGGAAGAGCAAGGCAAGCAGACCAGAGAATGGACCTCCGCGCGCGCACACACAATCACACACACAATAATCTGCTTAGCTCTCTTCAATAACCAAAATTGGGCATTAGTATTTCATTTTCCACTAAGAGAAATCAGTGGTTCAAGGAGGATAAGAATGCTACAAATGCTCCATAAGATCAGGCTGGATTACCTTGCTATACCAGATGGAAAAGAAGCTATCAAAGACACAGGAGCTACTTGCAGTGCAACTTCCCAGATATGGGACAATTTGAGAACTGAGAAACGTTACCGCAATGGATGAAACATATCAAATATAAAACATATCATTATGGCACAAAAAATAAAAAGGTAATTGGTCATCCTCAAAGACTTCTGATAAGCCAACTCTTTATTTGGATAACAAGTAAGTAAGGGAAATAAAGTACAACATTTATCCAGCTTTTCTATTGAACTCAGGCTTAGTGGTAGGATTGCGGATGAAGCTCAGTAGTAGAGTTCATATCTAGGATGTACTGGGTTCATTTGAGACAAAAAAAAGTGCATAAAGTGAAATTCCTTTCTAGAAGTAGTCCACAAATGTATAAA